GTGGGCTGCACTGAGGTCCTTCCTCTGGGCTCTTATTTCCTCAGGGAGCTGGGAGCAGCACAGTAGAGCATAACATCCTGTATGGCAAAGCATTAGGACAGGCTGTCATCACAGTCCTTACAGTCTCTAGTTTTTAATCAATTGCTTGTGGAAAGCCTGGTCTCTGCTCATGCATCCTTTGGAAACAGCAGCGCCAGGAGCAGGCTGCGAGGAGGCAGGGCTGTGCTCCCTTCTGCTCCCCTCTGGGTGTTGTGCACCACAGGGATTTTGCCATTCCCAAAAATCGGGTGCCAGGCTCGGGCTGCTGGAGCCAGGGGACAGGCTGGTGGCGGATGGGCAGCCACGGGCAGCCTGAAGCCTTTTGGGGAGCCAGGCACAAGGGCGGAAAGGTGGGGGCAGAGTGAAGCTTGAGGAGGCCTTGATCCCTGTGGTGGCAGTGGTGTCCTTCCACCTGAGGGGAGAGAGCTCCACGTGCCAGCCCAAATTCCAACAGTGTGGAAAAGTTCTTGTAGCACAGAATAAATTATTTGTTTGTGATTTAGTGGAAGTTCTCATGACACCCCTAAAGGAGTTTAGCATTATACATATTTTATGTTTAATCACATCTTCAGTGACACCCAACCACAACCAAAGGCTTAAATTTCAATTAGAGGGAAATGTATTAAATGTTTAATAGGAATCATTCCTTGCAGGGTAATTATATCTTAACATTCACTGGGGAGGCAATATAATGGTCTGAACAGGGATTTTTTTTTAAATTTTTTTTGGATAACATCCAAATGCAAAGCAGGACAATGACGCGCACTGTTCAGGATGGTCGTGTGTGAGCATTTTGTGGCTCAGCTTTCAGTTTGACACAGCTGTGTTCATGGCTGCACAGCACTGAGTGCTTTGCTAAGAGTTTTAATTTATTTCCCAATTTCTAGTAGGTTTAGTACATATGCAAAGGATTATTTTTTTGTGGTAATATTTAGGTTGTCAAAAACAAACAAAAAAAAGAATCGGTTTTATGCGCTCACAAGCAAATTAAAGTCATAAAGTGAGCTTTGAACCAAGGCAGTTAAAATCGAAGGACATGTGTAATATTGAGTGAGAGCAGAGAGAAGGGATTTTGAGAAAAGCATCCAAGCAAGGGGGGGGAGGGAATCCAGAATGCGTTTCTTATTTAAGAGAATTGCATTGAGATGAGTAAAATTAATCCCAAAGGCAACAAATAGGCAAGCCTATATAGAACTGTCACTGTGACCAGGGCAGGACTGTTGGCTTCACCCTCTCTGTGTCCCCTTGGTCTTACCGTGAGCTGCTGGCACAACGCAGCCAGCCCCACACAACTTCCCTGCTCCTCCTGTTTTTCCAGAGCTTCCTGGTGGCTTTGGTGTGAGGCAAGTGGAGTCTTTGCAGCTCCTCTCCTGGCAGAGAGGGGCTGCCAAAGGGCCTGCCATGGCCGTGCCTGAGGTGCCCCTGAGTGGGACTATTGTTCTCCTTTTACTTTTTTATTATTATATTTGGGATTTTTTTTCCCCTGTGTGTGTGCTGCATACTGTCAGGTGTGCTAATGCAGGACAGAAAACTGCTCTTGTGAGAGGCTGAAATTTGACTTAAACATGCCCAAAGTTAAGGACTGCTGGGTTAGTCACAGGGAGACTGGAGGCTGAGTTATGAGTGTCCTCCAGGACAGGAGTCGTAGTCCCCATGGGGCACGTTCATACTTGCTTGGACATCGTGTTGATGTTGTATTTTTTGAAAATTCTCAGAATGCAAAATTTTCACATCATGTGGGGAACATCTGCCCCCGAACACTACGATGCTGGCAGTAATGAAATGCACATTTCCCTTTCGTCCTATTAGTTTCCCATCAGGTTTATAGAAGATGCATTTTCTGTTTGCTTTTTGAGCTATGCTCCCCAGCTGTTCTAGTTAGCAATAATCATCTGTTTTTATCAGAGAACAGCTGTGAGCGAGCAGATCCTGTGGATGTGGGTTGTTTCCAAAGCAGGGAGAAAGCTTTGAGAGCGAGGTGGCCCGTGCAGACAGGGGCTGCTTCCTTTTGCAGATAGGCTTGTGGTGGTCTTGCACCTCTTCTGTAGATTTAGGAGTTATTCCTCTTTACCAAAACCTGACGGTAATTCATGGCACTACACATAGGATTTGTGGTCCTGTGGTATGGTTTCATGAGCTGCATGCCTTGTGGTGCCTCCTACAAATTTTCTCCTACAAATGCCTCCTACATTTCTAGAGTCACGTAAGCATTTTTAGATGTACATATGCAGGTTGCATATGATATCATATCTTAAAGCAAGATAGATACAAATGTCCTTGCATGCATTTTATATGCTATGTATTGTTTGAAAAAAAAAAAAAAAAAGAAAGAAAACTAAGAAATAATGAGTATTCCAATGCTAGGATGGATTTCTGCTTTGAGCTGCTCAGAAGCCATAAGCCTTTCATGCTTAACAATGAAGTAACCACCTCCCTGCATCTAAGAGTGACTACTCATTTCATGCTCCTATTTAGGAACATCTGTGGCTATGCATATAGATTTTCTTGCAAAAGGAGCAGTTTTGTGCTCAACAGCATATGTTATGCTTGCAGAGAGCTGTAGAGCAAATTCTGACTGCTGCAGACCAACCTGGGGCCGTTTAAAGGCAGAGAGACCCCGAGGCATGGAAATGCCACATGCAGAAACTGAAGCACTCTCTGAAAAGTTTGGAGTGTTTCTATAGCCGTGCTTAGCTGCCAGCCCTGGTCAAAAACATAGCTGAGGTTTTGGGATGTGACTCATGCAAATCAGCGTTTCCCATGCTTGGGTTAAGCCTGGTTTTCAGAAAGCATTGAGCATCCCCTGCTGGAAATCAGACCCCTTTCAGAAACCTCAAGTACTCAGAATCGAAGCAGCACATATCGCTAATCTTTTGTCATAATTCACAGCCAAATCTGGCCAAAGGCCTGAAATCTGGTTACAACCAGCTCGTGTGGGATTTTCTGTGCAAACATGGGGTGGCGGGGCTCAGGCACACAGCTTAGCAGACTCAGAATGGTCCTGGCAAAAGAAGAAGAAAGTTAAATAGACATTAGGAGGTTACATACCTGTTAAGCAGACAAACCAAGTAACTCTGTGCCATAGTTAGCTAGTTTAGATTACGAAAAGTGAGGATATTTTATGCATTTGTGACCTCCTTGGCCTCCTCTTGCCAACCTGCTGGGTGGTTTTCTTTCTGCCAGGGACTCGCTGCCCCAGTACACTCAGTACACTCAGAGGCAACGTGTTTCGGATGCTTTGCATGGTCTGGTGAGCTGTGGGCAAGCTGGGATGGTTGCTTGGTGCTCCGTGGCCATGCCTGCTGCAGTACAAAGCAGCAGCTGTGATCTCCCAGGGAGTGCATGGCATGAGGTATTTTCAATTTGTGCTGCAAAACCTTCCCTTTAAGGTCCTTCCGTTACCAGCAGGGCCTGTCTTGCTGCAAGTCTGAGCATTTACAGCTGAAATTTGCTCAAAGCAAGGTGCGACCTGGACTGGCAGAGCAGCACCCACGGGGCACTGATGCCAGCTACAGAGCTGCTGGGCTCAGGTGAGTGAGGGCATGAGGCCCGTGCCACGTGTCCCAGTGCGCTCACACTGCTGGTCAGGTGCTTGGAGGAAAAGGCATTGGGGCAGAGCAGCAACCTCGAGCCTTCAGCTGAGCCCCAAGCAGCAAGGCTGGCCAAGTAAGGCATGTGGACAGTTCATTTAGCCTCCAGAGTCTCCATTGTTCTTAATTGAGAGGTCTGGATGTAGCTGAAGGTGAATAAAGCTTCACTCAGTTCAACATCCTGTGAAGCTTGCCAAAAGTACCTCAGCTGTAAGAAGCTCCATCCTTTACATTGCATGACTTTAAGGTGTTTCATGCATGCTTTGGTCCATATGGAACTTACAGCCCTGTGCTTGCAGGTGCGAAGCCGTCTGGCCATGGGGAATGTGCTTCACCAGCTTCTCCATCACCCCAAAATCCCAACTCATCACTTCCTGGGCAGGAGAGGCAGTGGGAGCAGCAGGGCAAGGTTACAGGAGAAACTCCATTTCCTCAGAAGCTCTGGACCAACAAAGGCCTGTGCTCACTGCCAGTCTGGCTGCAGTGGATGTGAGATCAGAGAGATCTTCACCGCAGCAGGGTGAGCTACCTGCTGAGCTGGCAAGGCTCCCTGCCCCCTGAGCCTGCCAGCTGTACCGCCAGCAGTGAGGTTACAGCCACAGGCACGTGTGGTCGCTCCGCCAGTACCCGATCCACTTGCTGAAAACCAGAAATATGAAGCTGAAGCCGGTGCTGGAGAGCTGTCAGTGAGCACAGAGTGAGCTACTGGAATTGCTTTTCTTGTGCAAGGTGTATCTCTTGCTGTGAGCATCTCGCACCAGCTTCCGTGGGCCTCTGGTGGTGAAGTACGGGTGGCCAAGGGTCTCTTTCCTCAGATATTCCTGAGCCACTTTTAAGCTAGTAGAAAGCATCTGAATGGTCTCAAAGCAAAAGCTGCTTTAAATCATTTTCATGCTGGCTTTCTGGCATTCGTGGTTTTTAAATTCTGATGTTAGAGGGAAAAACAACATGTTTTGTGAGATTTTTGTGTATTTTTTGCCAGCAGAAAGATACCTTTAGGGACTAGGCCATGAGGACTGTGTTCCCCTCCCTGATGCAGATTCACATCTGATCTGTCTCTGCTTACGCTCCCAGGAGCTGGGGCGGGTGCTTCGCCCGAGTGAGCTGCCAAAGCAGCCGGCAGGGCACGGAGCGGCGCCTGCTGTCCCCCCAGGGGGGCTCTGGTTCTCCCTCTTCCCTCACAGCTGCTGCCGTGCTGAGCCCAGCTGATAGCAGGGGCCTTGAGTGATTTTAGCTCATTTGGAAATCTGATTTCCCTTTGAGAAACTGCTAATTCTTTTCCAGGTGCAAAGAACAGAAATCAACAGTTCATCTGGTGGTGCAGGAAGCACCGAGCCCTCCTTCAGTGTTGCTGAGACACGGGGTGGGCTGAACGGATCAACCAAGGGACGTGGGCTCCAGGCAGACCCTTCTGTTGTGGTCCTTCTGGAGAAAACCCGAGCCCCGCAGTGTGGGAAGGGACAGGGAAGGGTGTTCTGATAATTCAGCAGCGCCATCAGAGATTTGTGTGAGCCGCTCTGAAAAATGACACAGGGCATGAATAAATCATGGGCCCTCTCTTAGCAACCTGATGACTTCCACCGGCTCTGGTGGTGGTGAAAGAGGGCCCGGGCTCTGCTTTAAGAGCGGGGCGAGCTCGCTGCTGGTGGAGGAGCCACCCATGAGGGGGGCCGGGAGGCTGGCTGCCGCAAGCAGGGCCATGGAGGGCAACATGCACCTCCTCCAGCTCATCCGCAAGATGCGCTCCCAGATCGACGAGCTGGAGCGGGAGAACCGGGCCCTGAGGGGCGAGCTGCGGGCCTGTGGACCGAGTGCCACGGCGGCAAGAGCTGGGAGCCTCGCCAGCCCCATGGCACAGCCAGACCCCACACCCGGCCCTGCAGCGGCAGCGTCAGAGCAGGCAGGTACGGTGACACCACTGCGTGCCGCCCGAGCGGGGCCTCTGCTCTGGTTCTTACTGATCTGTGGGAGAGGGGGGCGAGCCAGCTGCTGTATGGCTGCCTTCACAGCGTGCTCTGGCCTCCCTCAGTGCCCACGCCCGCACCCCTTAGCCCGTTTTCTCACTCCGAGATCTCACAGGGTGCCTGCACTGGGCTTAGCGCAGTGCTTGGCGGCTCCCCGAGCGAGGCGTTCACCTCAGGGAGCTCCGCGTGTCTTTGCTGAAGCAGAACTTGACTCACTGCCACGGGTGTTTGTGGGCACAGACTGCCCTGATGCGGGTTCGGGTCCCCTGTCTGTCTCTTCAGACCTGAAGGACCAACAGCTGTCATTATGTGGTGATCTTGCCTAAGAAAAGGCTGAGAGAAGTCTTCAAATAGTAGCAAGTACTGGTGGGTTGCACACATTATACCAGAGGTGCAGTTTCTTTTTGTGGTTGATTTTGGCTGAGGGAGAGGGGGCAGTAAATAGGAATGCTGCCTCTTCCTAATTCGGGAGGGAAAAACAGAATATTTCCTCATCTGTAGTTTAGTTGGCACTACTGAAGGATTTCATGGAGCAGGAAGATCAAAAATGTTGTCTGGGGAGCGATACCTGCCCGGAATTGGGTACGGTTGTTAGCAGGGTCAGGCCGGTCTGTGTACGTGCTGGAGGCCAGTGGCCACCTCCTCCCCTTGTGCCTGTCGAGTCGAGTTTGCCGGCACGCTGCAAAGTCCCCTGGCAGTGTGCGAGCTGCAGCTGCCCTTGCAGCCTGCATGCTGGCTGGCGATGTCCTCGAGGCCCGTCTGTCCCAGCGGCTGGCTGGGTTTGCTCCCAGCTCCACTCTTCTCTCTGCTCCTCAGCCACCACCATGACCGTGCGGCGCTACTCCACTGCTGTGGCTGTGCCCGCTCCTCCTGGCACGAGGCCTCCCAGGGCAGGGAAGAGCCCAGCTGAGTGCTTCTCCAGCAGCAGTCCCAGCAAACTGAAGCTGTTCCAGGAGCACGTCCGCAGGTGCAGGTAGGGGGGTTGCCTTCACAGCGGGCTGGTTCCACCTCGTAACACGCACGGGTGTCGCTCTGGGATTCAGTTCAGCAGCAGCAGCATCTCTGATCGCTCACATGGCTCTGGGCACTGAGCTGATGGGAGGTCTGTTTAGAGCGGGACGTCCTGCTCCTCCCTGCAGCATCTGTGGAATTGTCAGTGTCAGTTTTAAATTTTCTATTTAAAAAATAAATAAATAAATAAATAAAAGGAGCAGACGAGGGGAGAGTGAAAGGGGTTGAGATCTCCCCGTGGCAGCCAGGCAGTTTTGCGGATTGATGCGTAGCTCTGGCAAGCAACGCTTCAAAGGGATTTTAAAACTTTGAACAAAAAGCGTGAAGATACTGGGGCACTCTGAGCTATGCTTCTGAAAGTGTGATTAATGAGATTCGTGAATGTAGATTTACCGTATCATTTTGCCCCTGTAACTGAAGTATTACAAATTAATGCTTTCAGCCTTGAGAAGAATATTCTCAGGGCTCTAAATTAAGTGAAATGGCTCCCAGACAAGTCCTGAGCATCGCTGCTCGCTGATGAAAAGCTCTCCAGTGCACGGCAACAATCAAAGGTAGAAGCGCTAATGATGCGATTGTGATACGTGACAGCAGCAGCACCCTCCCGGTGCTGTTGCACACAGTGTGAATCCCTTCAGATAGCTCCTGTTAGTGCTGATCATGCTGTGCTCATAACAGAAAGAGTCCAAATGGCCTCAGAGCATGCATTTAAACAGGAGAAACCCATCGGTTTGCCCACCTACACCTGTGTTTTCTTGTAAGGACGTTTGAGGGTCAGATACTTTACAGCATTTAAACACCTAAATTTAGACCCTGGCAGGGAACTCGTATCATTTTCAAAAGCGCCCTGACCCCGTAGCTCTGGGTTTCAGCATACACTTCACTGAGTTCTGCCAAACTGCAGGCTCCCAGAGCACATAAACACTTCAGAGTTGTGCCCTGAAGGCACCTCACTTGGAAGGCGCTTGTGTTGGGAAACACGCGGTCGGCGTGCAGGGGGATGACCGGCACAGGCAAACACCACTGCTGTCTCCTAAGGGAAAGAGAGGTTTTGTTTCTGAGCTAGCAGCGTAGGTGTCTTCTAACTGATGCTTTGGGGCCCGTAGATGAAAAGCACTGCCTACCTAATGGGCAGGGGAGTGTTGCAGATTGTTTTATCGTTCTCATTACAGCTGCCTTGCCAGCAGTGAGTCTGGCACAGGGGCTCCTGTCCACCCGCTGCTGGCTGCTTTAACAGAAGACATAATTATGGACAGAGCTTTTTACCTAACCCTATTTAAAAAATGGCTGATATCCTGAAACTCGAAGCTCGGTTATTTTCATATGAAGAAAAAGTTTAATATATTTTCTGCCCATAGTAGCGGTTGTTGCCATTTACATAGGAATGGCTAACACAGGCAGAAATCCTAGTAAGCCTTTAACTAGCAGGTTAATTTGTAGCAATGAATTCAGCAAGCTAATTAAGCATAATTTTTTACAGTGATGGCATTTTTGCTTGCCGGCATGCTGTTCTGTGACAGGTGTTTTATGCTTTGTTTATTGTACTTGCATTTTGCTCTAAAACTGTAATTGTACATGAGAAGCTGAATACTGTTACCTTTAAAAGTGACTGCTCAGGATTATAACCTTGTATTTATCTAGAGTGCAGCTGCAGCCCAGCAATAAAATACCAGCACTGCCACCAAATCACCACTAATCTGTGGGTCTACATTTTCATTCATACATGCTAAAGCATTGTTTATACCGTGATTCCCACGATTTGTTGAAAATGAAAAAAGACTGAATATTGTAATACACCAGGCTGGATAAGAGATGGCTTTCAGGGCTATCTTAGTAGAATCACAAAATGCACAAAGCCTTGGTACAGCCCTCACCAAGCTGCCTCCCCAGTCCCTGAGCAGCTCTGGCCCCAAGGGAGCCTCTGCAGAGGGCACCAGCGGCACGCTGCTGGCTGTGCTGGCACGTTTGGCTGGCACACCTGCGCTGCTGGCATTTGTCTAGACCACAGTGTGTGGATTTTGTTTGGTGAGACAAACGGGGAATGGCTGATGCGCAGGCTGGAAGATCAAGCTCATGTACAAGGAAATGGTTTTGTTACGTAGCCTGCTGGAGTTGTGTGTGTGATCCAGAGCAGAGGAGAGGACAATGTTTTTCAGCAATGCCACAATGCAGATCCCTGGCTCGACCAGAGGTAAAGCTTCTGGCCAACTAACACGCTGCTTGGGCATGACTGGCACCTCATTCCGATGAGCTGGGTAGGACTGTCTTTGCTTGTGGGTTTCACTTTCCAGGTTTAATTGGCAGGTGAGAAGGGCTGAGGAAATCGCTGAGGCCAGGGACGCCCCCGGTAACTATCACAGAGTGCTTTCACAGTTTCATGTTTTCCTTTCACGTGTTCCTTGAGAGGCAGAAGGAGCTGCTGCTGATTGCAGAGGAGACTGAGCAAAAACAAACAAACAGAATCTCTGCAAAACCCGCTCTGTTTACCTGCCAAACAGCCAGTTTCGGCACACACAAAGGAGCATGTTTCTACCTCAGCTTTCACCATCCGTGTAATTTACCACACACACACACATGCACACACTCACCACTTCAAAACACCCGTTCTCACACACACTTTGAGGAGCTGGCTACCTGTGCATGTAAAAATCCACTGGCAGGGCCCCTGGACAAGGCATACCCGGCAGACACAAGGGCATCTGAGGGATCTGCACGCACTGGGCTTTGTACATGGGAGCCAAGTGCTGACAGACAGCCCTTGGGCTCAATGGAAAAAGGCAGATGCTTCCAGCAGACAGACAGACAGACAGCGCTGTGCCTGGCCCCCTGGGAAGCCTGTGTGAGCTGTCTGAGCAGGGCAGGAAATTCTGCCTCCACGCATCATGCAAGTGCTGACAGCGTTTACCTTCTGCTTGCTGGTGTGTTTTTTTTTTTGTTTGTTTGTTTGTTTTTTCTTAGCTGTTTTTTGTTGTTGTTTTTGGTTGATTCTTTTTTTGAGTTTCTTTGCATGTTTTATATATTTCTAATCCTCATAATCCTCTCTCATTTTCCTCCAGGGGTAAAGTAAAGGCCGTTAGTTTCCTTTTACCGATGGATGTGTCAGCATGTGCTGAAAATCAAGGTTCTCTGAAAAGCCCACAAAATCAGGACACACACGAGTTAACTACCATCACTGAAAAGGATATGTGAGCTGGTGAATTTTTAAAGGCCCATTGATTCTTGAGATAAATTGGCCTTAAACGATAGCTATGTGTCAGGTTCCTTTTTTGCAAAACGCTTTGGCAGGTTGCCTTCAGAGAATCACCTAGACTGTGTTTCGGGTCACTGGCCTGTTGTTTAGCAAGGAAATGGAGGCCATGACAAAATCAGCTGAAAGCCTGTACCCTGCAGTGAAGCCACGTGATAGCAAAGGATCCTCCACAAAGCAGCTTCTGCTCAACATCTCTCAAGGCTCTCTCACCTCAGGACTGCTTTAAACAGGATGTTAAAGCTGTTTTTGCTGTGTTTGTCACAAAAACGGAAACCAAGTCACCTCTTGAGTTCACCGATCCTCTTGCCAGAAAGGTCTTTGTTGCAAATGACAAAATAAGAGCTGCTAAAAACCCGGGAGGTCTCTTCTGCACTCAAAACTTTAAAGCTTCACAACACCAATATAGCAAAGTTAAGGGGATGTTACGGAATCAGTTAACATTACTCTGAATTTCTGCAAAGATGGACAATGACTGCTAATGCCACTGCAGGTTCACCTCTAGGGGAGGGCAGAGGAGCGTACATACTAATCAGTATGAAAATATGACTGCAAATCTGTTTCTGACCTGGTGTGTCCATCCATATACCAAGCCAAAGTTGGAAGGATTCTGAATATCAGAATTTTTCAGGATCGGCTTCTGAACACATCTCAGATCAAGAATCAGTAGCAGACATTCATCGAACTGGTGCAAAATAGATGTAAGAAAAGACTATGGACAGCTTGTAAAAAATGAGGAGTGCTTGCTAACTTAGGTTTGAGCATCTTATGAGTAAAGATAATGTCCCACGTTTAATTTGACTACAGGTATTTATGGATCAAAACCACTATACTTACCTTGCTATTTCTGTATGTACAGGCAGCATGGATGAGTGAATGTCACACAGAGGATGCATGAACAGTAGATGCTGGTAACATTTAGGAATGTTGTCGTCTCATGGTCTACTCTTAAATTCTTGAGCCTTCAAAAGTGAAAGCAGTGAGCTGGTAGAGAAAAATCCCATCTTGACTTTCAGTGATGTTGTATGCTTCTGTAAAAGCAAGCTCCTTGAGGATTTTGAAATTCATGATGTTTTGTATACTGAAGTACATTTTAAAATATTCTCACCAATGAAATAATCATTTCGGTTTCACTGCTATTTTATTTGTGAATTTTATTTCCAGCATGGGTCTGTACAGAGTTGCATTTTGATGTTGTGTTTAATCAACAACGCCCAGCAAATGAGGGTACAGTCTGGAAAATTTGCTAATTTCTGAAAGCACTGACAGGGAAATGCTTTTTAAAATGTTTTAATGAAAGCTTTATTGTCAGAAACGAGACATGTGTTAAGTACCTAAATCCAGTTGATTTCACTCACCAAAGTAACAACAAATATATTTGAAAATCTGGCCCCTAACCTTTCAAGGCACCCAAGTGCTTTTGAAACTTCATTCTTTAAAACCAGATCTAATGGGATTTGGCAATCCATATATTCTAGACAGCTTTCAAGAATCTCAGCTTTTAAATTCTCTAAGCCTCAGCATCCATGAAGTGGCAGCGGGAAATTCTGTTCTCTCACCTTTTTTGTGTCAATTCAATGTAGGTAAGTCACTGCAATGAAAACTGTATTAACACGTTCTAGCTTATGACACTGTTAACTGTAGTGTGCTGATTCTGATGCCACAAAAATGCATAACTGTGCATGGCCAAGAAATTAAATTCACTTTACATTTATTAGAGGTGTAATGATCTTAACAATTTTTTGTATATTGGTAAGAAAAAACAAAGAAAAGGTGGAAGGAAAAAGAGAGAAATGAATCAAAGTAGTCATTGAAAAATGGTAGTCGGTGTATTAATGGAAAAAATATTTTTGAATAGTATTTTTGCATTATTTCAGTCTTTAGCAGTACCTACTGATCTAGAAACACAGGATGATGTACAGGCACATTAATTTTTAAAAGCAGGTGTTCAGATTTGACCCAGCTCCACATCTCCAGCAGAGCAGCAGAAGACCAGATGTAGCAGAGGCCACAGAGACACCACTGAGCACATCAATTTTATTGAAGTACAGCATAAAGTACCTTACCATGGCACAGTTACTGTCAATTAACACATTCCACTATTAAATATTCACAGATTGGTCAGTGTGAAAAGGGAAGGTATAAGCAAAGCTAGATTTGGGCAGAGAGATGCAGGCAGCAATTAAGCCATGGTCCTTTCCTTTCTTCCTCCCATAAAGAATTCATTGAAGTTCAGAGGGGCCCTGGCCTTTTTGCAAGAGGTTCCCTCCTGCATTAGCACTGGCCTCTCAGAGATGTTCCCTCCTGTGTGACACTTGTGCTTGGGGCTAAGTGGCTTTATATACCCATAGCAAGTCCAGATAAACACGGAGTCCACCACTGCCATTTGTTAAATGACATGTTCTCCATTTCATCAGCATGACTGCTCAAGAGTAGTAAAACACGTCTCTAGGTTGGAGGCAAAAACATCTTGTCAGAGTAAATTCTCAAGTTAAATCAGTGGGACAGCACTGATTTAACTGGTATGGCAGACTCAGCGTGAGTGAGAGAGAAGTTGGGTATTACCTTTCTTTAGAAAAGACTTTAAAACTATGGTCACAACACAGAAGTGCAAAACTGTGAGCACTGGAAGGTGCTCCATGTCAGGGGGTGTTACTAAGGTGAAATTTAGATGTGTGTCTGAGGGTAGCACACAAGCACACCATTGGTAAAACCAATTTAACAATAATAATGCTCAGATGCATCTTCATCCTACAGCTGGTACGACCCTCCCCAAAATAATGAGCAATATCTAGATAGCAAAATCCTTCTAAATAAATACATAAATAAATAAATCCTGCCAGTCATAAAATTGCACTCTTCCAGAATGGTGCTGTCCTGTTCTTTTGTTGAAAGTGCTAATGTTAAAGGGTGCATCTGTATTTGCACCATTTTAGTCAGTGTCAGGAGACATCCCTAGTCATACTTACTGTACTTTGTTTCAAATTGTAGAGTGGTCTCAAAGTGCATGAACTGATCTCTTCTGCATGAACGAAGCCAGAAGATGCACTTCTAAGGTGCTCCAAAAGCTGAAAAGTATCCAGTGTGTGGGACCACATGAGCAAGCCCTCTGAAATGCCTGATGTGTGGATGTCAGCACTGACAGCTTCACTCTACACATCCGCCTCAATTGGTCTGCGTTGCTCGCTAGCATAGACAGAACCACAGAGCATCCAGCCAAAACAGCTCCTGTCTCGTGGGTTTAAAAAGAAAATCTAGCTAGGTGAAATTTCATCTTGTTAATACTGTAGAGAGGAGGCAACTCCTTTCATCAGTCTTACCTCTCCGCCTGGTGTTTAAAGGGCTTCACTCTTGCCACTGATGTGGGGGTGGAAATGTGATGCTCCAGGCTGTAACAGAGGAGTAACATTATCATCTTCTCCAGTGGGTTCTTGCTCAAAGTTCATATGGGTCTCATGTTTACGTACTTAAGACAATGAATCTACACCCAAAGATAATAAATCAATGTGCAGGGTGCATTGCATATCAAAGTCACCCAGAACTCAGCACATTCATCTACTCCATGTTCCACTTAAAGGAAGGAGAGGACAATTTATGATGTGCTGGATTTCCACAATCTTCTTATCTACTGTATTTTTGCTCCTGCATGTTACACCCTTGATAGCTGAACATCAATTTTTCTCTACCAGTTCTGATTAGGTGCGCTCTAAGAATATATCAGCGTGGAAGTGATTCAGCGAGGGAGCCTCTGACACCAGGTAAAGGATGTTGATCTTTTAACAGTTATTTTCAGTGATGTTAGCAGCATTAATTTCAGCCTTGACACACTCCCTCTGTAGTTCTCAAACTTTGTTTTTGTTTATCTGGAGTGAGACCACAGGAAATAAACTTGAAATTCATCTGAAGGTCTCAGGTAGCGGGCCATGAGCAGGCCTTCAGCATTGTGATGAATTTGATGCTACGTAATTCCACTACGTGCATTTCCTTCTCAGATCTTCTAAGTACAGCGTGGACAGCTGGTTTAAAGACTGCAGATTATTTTGTGCTTTTTTTTACTGTTATGTGCTATAAAGTAGACAATATTGTTTCTTCAGGATGGAAAAATACAGGTTGTATTAGATGACAGAAATCTATTCTGCACGTTTACTGCACAATGCCTCAACCCAACAAAAGACCTGTTAAGAGATTAAATTGTCGTCATAGTAGATCAAATTCTGCTGACCTTACACAGGGCAGATATTGGTTGTGCTGAAGTCTAGACAGATGGTCACTTCAGGGAATGTTGCTTTTTTTGCAAGTGCTCACTTGAGTAGGAATATTTCTAGTTGTATGAGTCACCGCTTTCTCGATTGCTGCATGAGATACCAAACAGTGGTTTTTACATAGGGATACTCAAAGACACAGCAGAAGCTGAAAAATACATCTTCAAAGTCTCTTGTGGTGGTTTCATTCTCCACTGAGAATATTATATGGCATGTGTAGCTTGATTAAAAAAATATATATCCTTCATTCTTTTTGCTGACAACTGTGATGAAATCTTTTTTTTTTTTTTTAAACAAAATCATGAGGTACTTGATATACAAAATCAGTCCCACAACAGGAAAATGCAGTAAATCATAAGAAAAATGCTGTTTCATGTATAAAGTAAGAAACTTAGAGTAGATTGCAAAAATTGGAGCGAACATTTCTAATCTGTGGCTCTTCGGTAGCTGGTTTGGCTCTTTCCCTGTTTGGATGACAAGGAGCATCATCTGAATGCTGGTTGCCATGGAGACTCCCATAGCTTTTTGAATCATAAGTTTTGCCTGTAAAGAAACACCCCTTCAGTGTGAGATTTTAATGACCACAGAGGTTTCTGTTTGTCTGCACATCACATATTAGATTAACTACCATCTCTAAACAGGTGGGAGGGGAGTAAAATATTTTCCAGTAATCAGTGACAACGTTTTTAGTCTGTACAAAAACTACAAATTATGCAAACAGAACTACAAAACTTGCTGTTTTAGATTAGCCTGCTATGGCATTAAATCCATCATCTCTTTCTCAGTATCAGCTACTTCAGATGAGAATGAACTTTGATTGTAGAACATGGGCATGGCAATAAATCATTCCAAACCCCGCAGGAGACTGGCTTGAGAAGTGATACGCTGCATAGCTAGTGAGGTCTCTCCCTCTCTCGAGCTTGAATTGATAAGGGTTTCCCTATAACTTCATAAAAATAAAAGGCAGCTTTTCTAGGAAAAGATGCATATATGAACAGATGGGTCTACCCATGTGAAAAGTTTTCTAACAGTTATCAGTTCTGTTTGCATTATCAGAAAGACATTGAAGTCTGACAGCTATGTCAGCTTCTTTCTCCCTAGTGCACGAGTTACACCTCCGTTTGTTCTGAGAGTGAATTTATTTGGCCCTAAGTTACGTGCAGAATGGTTAGTTTAACCAACATGGATATACTGGGGGTTGGAGTTGGATGGTCTTTAAGGTCCCTTCCAACCTGAGCCATTCTATGATTCTACTGCCATGAACTTCTGGCTTGAGTAAAACCATAATTATTCAGAAGAATATGATGAAGCTGCAAGATTAAGCCTCAGTTACTTTGTTGCCTTTTCTGAATTGTAACTAAATAGCTACCTGTTAAATCTGCATTTTTTGCTCGATTTCTTCTTTTGAGACTGTTTTGTGCATCTGTGGGACTGTCAATATACTTCATTGCAATGGCTGTGGTCTGGTCCCTCTCTTGCTGAGTCTGATTAACTGAAAAAAGAACAGAAAGGGATATTTAAGTGAGTTGTATTTACATTTGTTTCTTTAAGGAGAGAGAGAGACATCGAGTTGGCTCTACCTGTCTGATGAGAACTTGGTGTTGTTTCAGTCCTGCCTTCTTGAAAGGACTGAACAGATTCATGGCCAGAATCTGTGTCTTTTCCTGGCCTCCCCATAATCTCATTCTCAGTTGCAGCTTTATTTCTAACGAGGAAATACGTGTGCATTTTCCCTTTGCCTTTCACTTCTATTTCTCCTCTTTCAGTCATCTCAAAATTCTTGTATTTTAGGCATCTAAAATATCAGAAGCAAAATGACACATGAAAATTCAGGACTAGCAAAAAATGGCACTGATGTTTCAGAAGAGCTATTATAATCTAAGCAATCAAAGCATAACCATTTGGGGGGAAAAAAAAAAAAAGAAGAAAATGTGATATTGACCGTGAACCATGAGATAATTTGTTCCAACTGTTTATTCAAGCCTGATTTGCTTTTATAGCTTTATACATGCAGTCTTATAAAAACTAGTGGATCACGTAGACAAATATTTTGGGATGGTGGAAGGCTCTTTCTGACCAGTAGATGGAAATTAAGAACTGAGGCAGCCAGTATCAGTTAGGCAGAACTATGTCTCATCATTCAATGAGAGAAGGCAATCAGGTCTGTCAAGTGTGATTTACCCTCAGTAAATCCATACTGGCTACTCCCAATCACCTTCTTCATCCAAAAATGTCTTCCAAGAGGACCTACTTTGCACTGTGGCTGACATGAGGCTGTCTAACCTACAGTTCCCCAGAGCGACCTCTTTGCTGTTTTTGGAGATGGGTGTAATATCTGGCTTTCTTTGGCTGCTAGGGTGTTGATCTTCACAGCCTTTCAAAGATGACAGTCAGCAGGATGGTAATGCATTGCCCAGCTTTCTCTTTACCCTTGGATGTATCATAATCTGCCCCCATTGACCTCTGTGGACTAAGACTTCTCAAAAAATTCTTGATCTGATCCTCTTCCAATACCAGTACTTCACCTACTCCTTGAACCCCAACCCTGGGTGCAGGGGTCTTAAAGACCTCATTAGTGAAGACTTAGGCAAAAGAGGCCTAGGGTAACTCAGATTTGATTTGGGGCACTGTCACCAACTCACCTGCCACAGCAGGTTCACATCTTCAGTTATATTCTTCTGGTAATGTAGCACCAGGAGCTCCTCTTACTGCCTTTGAACCAGCTTTGCTCATTTCAATGCTACTTGAGCTCTGGCTTTCCCTAATTCTATTCTCAATTTTTCTACTCCTGTGTAGCTTATCTTCACTTCTGCCTCTTGCATGCACATGTTATGCGTACACAAAATTATTGAAAATGTCATATTCAATTTTTACCGACAAAAGCTTTGGGAATCTAAATTCCTCCCTGAATAGGACAGTGGTTTATACAGTTTATCCTTAGTAGGTGCAAATAAAACTGCATTGCCACAAATTGTTATATTCAATAAGAGAAATTTTAAAGTTTTGTTTGGCAGGATGTAAAATTAAATGATCTGTCTTTCTATTATTGACATCATATTATTGGCACTTACAAATAAGCTACCACTTTTTTTTCCATCTTCTTTTACTCTCTAGAATCAAGACTTTCAAACTTCTGTCTCCATATATATGGACACTTGAAATAATCAGAACAAAGTTCTTTGCAAGCAGTGATTTTTCTTTAAAGCCGCATAAATCAGTGATAAAGGACAGCATCATCTACATCTGAAAGCTGCAGCTGTTCAAGGCAGTGTTTTTAGCACAGCTTTTAAGAGGAAAAGTTTTCATCATAGCTACTCACTGATAGGTACTGGAGCTTAGATGAATTTTACTCGGGACACCGTGACTCTCCATCCGGGAAGCTATATTCACAGTATCTCCAAATAAGCAGTAACGAGGCATCTTTTCTCCAACAACTCCAGCCAAGACAGGACCTGTATGGATCCCAACTCTAATCTTTACAAAGACATAAAACACCCCCAAAAAATGTCATTTAACATTTAGCATCTTTCTTAATGCTCTCCAGACACCTAAAAGTTCATCTTAACACAACACCGGACACCAGTAAAATACCAAATACCCACAGGGAGAGGCTCTTGGTGAAAAATACGCCCATGTGGGCCTTGCCCAAAGTCACAGTAAAGTTAAAAGAAGCTCTTTGATGTCCCACTGTAATACTTTAACCAGAAGCCCAACTCAAGAATCAAACACATTTGCATCTTTTTGTTAACAACTTACTTGGATTGGATTTCCAGAAACTGGGTTCTCTACTCCTTTAGCTGCTATTACCATCCCCAAGGCAAAGTTAGCAACCCGCTCAGCGTGAGTGGATACAGGCACAGGAACCCCACCTACGACCATGTAGGCATCTCCAATTGTCTCCACCTTTAATTGAGAAGGACAAGTATCTGAGTATACCACATATATCTTGTTCAGGTAACTTGCTTTGTTATTTGGGACTCTCCTTACCTGCACCAAATCCCTCTTCCTTCTCAAAGATCCATTCCTTGACTCCAGACTAAAAATTTCAGTGTGTTTTGTCTCTGCTTACTTGACCCATTTAAGATATCAGTGTGAGAGACCCTAAGGAGTAAGAGATGCTGTGCAAGTGTCAAACTGCCTTGCCTTCCACTGAACCAGGGCAGGCCTACACACAAAGAACTATTCCCAAGCACAGTCTCCTGAGCCAGGAGATTAACTGACAGCTGAATGCCATTAATTAGCTCTAATTCACAATTGATTTTAACGATGTATTTCTTTTTTTTAAAAGTCACAATAAATCAAGTGAGTCTGTTCACTGGTGATTATTATGAAGTGGTTCAAATGAAATTAAGACACCTACAATTTCCAATGGCAGGTTGTCAGAGAATGAAGTGTGAACCAAGCAGTTTGTGAATATCCCTCCTTACAATCAAATGTTTTCCCACAACATGCTGCAGTCTGTGAGACAAATTCTGAAGTGTTAGTCCTACTACAGGCACCCAGTCTCCTTGAAATGCCTGTTATGGCACCTGAGAAACACCTCAGTGCATGTCCCCATACCAGAGATTTTTCTGTGAATAGAGCAGGCCCTTTGGAAGAATTCTCCAATGGTTAAAATCCATTGTAAAAGACTGTTACACAGCCAGGAAATTTCCTAAACTGCTCTTGTGAGACTTCACTGTTGCATTCACCATCGGCAAGTAAGAAATTAGCTTAAATTAGATCAATTGGATTTCTTAATAATGAGCACCAATAGGAGAGCAGGAACATAATTTCATCATTGGGCTTGTTCATTGACATAATGACTTAAAACAGTTCAGTATATTAGTCCTGAAAAAGGTGTTCCTGTACAAATCGTCTACTGAGGACCCACAGTAATACCAGTAATCTTCTCTAACAAATTAAAAACTGTAAAAAGCTACTAATGCAAACAGATACCTTAATTATTTTTAGGCTGTGGCAGGAGATTTAATTTAACAAGATTTATTCATAAAATCAGACATTTATAAGCTTGGGCCAAGTTTCTCTGATTGATTTCAGTATTTCATTTCTTTCTCAAATGCCTGAAATAGTTATCTTGTCCTCCCTCTCTGTACCTAGTTACCTCCTTCAATATTAATGGGAGTTATATACAGGCATCAAAAGGAGATTATTATAGTGACAGATAATTTACTCAAGATGTATGATTTGGAATATGATGTTAATCTATCCTAAAATCTGTGGGCCATATCCTGGTTGCTTCAATTATTGAAAAGAGTTTCCTTGCCAAGGCAGAAATTCTTCTGATTTCCCAGTACAAATTATTGCAGGATGAACTGCATGTCTTGCCTGAGTAAGGAATAAATGAGATTTGGATTTCACCCTTTACTATTTCTGCCTTCCTAAATATTTAATGTGCTAGGGACAGACAGAAAATTAGGATCAGCTCTTTGGCTGCTCAGCCGAAGAGGTAGAGCTGCTCAGCTCTAGGTAGCTCTGGAGTTGTTAATAATGCTCTGTTATATGGCTGCCAGGGCTCTGATCCTTCCAGCACGGTTTGGAGAGAATACACGCGTTGCAGTCTAGATCTAGTTGATGCTCTTTGGGGTCAGAAGGAGGTATACACCATTGCCTAAGATCTCCATGAGCAAAAATCAAAGCCTAGCTGTTACCTGGGTGTTGTTTGTGAGGTTATCTCCCACTAAAAACAATAATACATGTATACTGACCTGTTTTACAACAGGTTGGAGTAAAAGGACTAGGGATATTATTCAAATTGGTCCATAAACTGGAATATCCTGTCATGTTGGGTGGACATTAGACAGAGAAAAGAAAGAGATGTATCAAAAACAGCAGTCCTGGTGTAAGTGTTGTGAAAAGCGACTTTAGCCCATGATAGAAGTTATGCTCCTGTATAGCTTCTAACAAACCTTTTAAATATATTTAATCACACCTCTGTATGCTTTTTTTGTGTTTGTTTTTGTGTTTTGTTGTTTTTTTTTTAGTTTCTCTGCATGGCCAATATAAACATGCTGCAGAATTTCATGGTTTGTCAAAAATCATGGTGGGTTGAAGACGACCTAAGTGCATTAAAAAAAAAAAAAAAATCGGCAAGCACAACAACCTGTTCCCAGGCTATTTCTACAGTCTTTACCAATCAACACATACCTTGTACACATCATGCACTGTGGTCAGTCTGTCAAATTGCAGGTACATTGTATTTAACATGAGAACTATCTGAATAGGCTCACATTGGGCACAAATGTTGGTAAAGGTCACAACATCACTGAACAGTATGGTGCACTCCTTGAACTCTCCTGTGAGCAGAAAAACAGTTGTAAGTATCGGTAATGGCTGGACAATCACAACATCTGTTTAAGACTTGTTTGCAATGACTTCTTTCTAGTCATTATTTTAAGGAGTAAGACTATTCAGTTGCAGTATATGTGTCCCGATATGAAAGATGTTGATATAGGAATATTTCAAATATAAGAACCATAGTGCATCAAGAACAATTCGTACATCTGAATATGTTCCTGTCCACCTACATTCAGGACATACTTAGCACTTTACCCCAACTTCATATGTGTGCTTACTAAAGGGAATTTGAGCATGTTCTCACTTGCTATCCTTAAGAAAAATTTGAATAATGATGACTCTAGGTTTATAGATACACTAGAGGAACTAGGAAAATTTTCCAGGAAACATCAATTTCTTTATTGCTTTCATTTTTGAGCTCTCATTTCCCTGTACACCCCTGTCAACAACAAAAGCTCAGTTTCCTGTTGAAACTCCAAATTCTGCTACCTGAATGGGCAGCTGCTAACACCTTTCATCTCCTAGGGAACAGTTCTGGCAAACAGCTTCCAAATCTCTGTTATCATCAAGATTAAGGGGCTGTGGTCCTCCTACCTACTACCCACGAGTTTCACTAAGTAGAGAATCTACTCCACAACAATGACAACAGGGCTGTGACAGTGCCCAATTTCTATCACCACCATGCCTGGCGCATGAGTCACGCATCATGAATGAATACTGTTCATTCACCTGCCTCAACTCGCTTCCCTTCTTTCAGCTGGTTGGCCACGTGCTGAGGGAGCATGGCATAGAGCAGAGCCTCAGTCTTTTTCTTCTCTTCTTCCAGGTGCTTTGACAGTATTCGCAGTTCCTCCTTCTTCCTCTCCAGCTGGTTAGAGAGCTCCATCTCTGCCAGTCGCTGCTGATTGAGAAGAATCAAATCCCTGGTCACGTCGTGAGGTGCAATGTCTGCAATATGCATCTGTCGTTCCTCTAGCTCGTGCAAAGTGCGAAGCAAAGGTGAGCAGAGATAGAGCATGCACTGCAGGGACTCCATCCAGATCATCTGGCCTGTTTAAAACAAGTGTTGGTAAGAGTGTTCATCAACCTGGACTTTCATGTGATGTTCAGTATTACTGATGCTGTTATTAGGGGATGATTTCTAAGGACAATGGCTTTTTGTAGGGTCTGGGTCATTACAGCTATTAATGTTTCCTGGAATTAGAGGTGGGTTTGTTTTGATGAGGTGCACTAGGTAAACAGAAAGAGTTCAGGACCCAGAAAGCAGCCACTCACTACAACCAGTAGGCAGAACCTGACCAAGTTTCAGGTTCTTCCTCTTTGATAGGAACCACAGGTTTCACAACATTTTTCCCTTTCTCTGCTTCTCCTCCTTGAATCGCTCCTGAAGCCGATGAGTCAGCATTGTACACAGGGAAACTGAGATTCAAAATGATTAAGTGAAACATTTAAAGTTAAACTTCAGAATGGGTAAAATGTGGCCCCAGTAAAGTCAATTAAGTTTTCCTATTGGAAGCTGGAGCTTTCAGTCACTAGGCTCACATAAATAAGTAGGTACAAAAATGCCTGACAGGTAGAAGGAAGTTTTAGAGGGGGATTGGGTTTTTGTTTCCTTTGTTGAGATTTGGTTATAGGTTTGGGTTTTTGTTGTTGTCTTGTGTTTGCTTATTTTAAACCTGACTGGATAAAATGAAGTAGAATTTTTACCTGTGGCTAAAGTCCCTTGTTTGGTTAACAGCACTTTTTTCAAGGTCCCCCTGAACTCTTAATGTTTTCTGAATCTCAGGAATACCAGATTTGACACTCATCATGTAAAGGTGAAAGGAGAGAAGGGAAAATTAGGTCATTATATAGTACAAAGGAGCAAAATCGAGGTCATCGAATACTTAAAGCAAGTGTCGTTATAGTTAATTACATGAAGCTGAATCATTCCATACTCATTCCTCTCAATAAAAATAGAGCAAATAAAATCTCTTTGTTGCTACAACAATTTCAACTGGTAAACTCTTACATAACATAGGAGAGGGGGAAAAAAAGACAAATCAATCTGTAAATGTCACTACAAAAAAAAGTAATAAAATAAAAGTACAGTTAATTTATTTTTATCCATATTTGAAACCCAGCCAGTATGAAATAACTCCTCTCAGAGGTATAAATTAAGAACTGAATAATGTATTCACATTTTAGGACTCCAAATGCATGGAGTCACAAGGGAAGACATCTCTTCCTCCAGCTGTAGAAATTTTATCAGAAATTTATCTTCAAGCACTTCCTTCTTCCCCTGCCCCTTCCCTCCCCTTTGCCTGACAGATCTGGAACTGTGTGCTGGCAGGAGCGCTGTGTTTTGTGGTGTATTGCTGGAATGCTCGCCCAGTGTTTTAATTATTCTCTTTATGTGCCAAACATGTAATCCAAGATCTGTGAACTGGTATTGCCTGTGCTAGCTGGCTGGGTTTAAAATGTTGTTCCAAGTACAAAGAAATAATTTCTTTATCAAAGACAATTCTTAGCAATGCAAAGTGATTCCATTTCAGGTGGATATGGTGATTTGCAGAGCTACAGGGAGGTGAGACCTAGACAGTTAGCTTTACACAGCTCACTGCACTGCCATGCTGGGCCTGGTGGCAGCGATACCAGAAGCTGGCTCTGAGGGCTGGCATTGTGTCCCCTTCATCTTCCACAGGTCCCCAGAGAAACTGAAGGCCTTAGTTGAGCACTGGGGAGATTCACAGAAAAACTGGCTGTGAATCCCAACCAAAACCGAGAATGACAATACAACCATTCTGCTGAGGTTGCCCCAGAATAAATGCTTAAATTACCACTTCTGACCTCTGCAAAGAAGAATACTTAGGGCAGCACCACAGGGGAAACTCATAGCTATTTATGGGAAAGCACCATGACTGGGTGGCTCTGAAGTGCCTGTAAAACGGGAGGAACTCGAAGTCTGAGTGCAGTTACAGGGTTACCATGTCTTTGGGATCAGAGACTTGGTCAGATAGATCTGGAGAACTGCAAAGGATGAACACAGACTCTTTAGGATGGACGGGCAGGCTAGGTGGGAGAGGTGCCTTTCATGTGAAAAAGTAAGGGGAGCGCATGGAGCTCTGCCTATGGTTGGGTGATGAGCCAGTGCATAGGTCAGAATCAGAGGACAGACCAATGTGGGTGATGTTGTGATGACAGACACCCTGCTCGGGAAGAAAAAGTAGGCGAGACCTTCCTAAAACAAGTGGAAGATGCTTCATGGCCACAGGCCCTGGTCCTCATGGAGGGTTTAAAACTACTTTGATAACTGCTAGAAGGACAACACTTTCCCAAACTCAGCTGGAGGTGAGTCAGTTCTTTGATTCTGAGAATGGCCACGACTAGAGGTAGTTCAGAAAATGATCTAATCCTACCTTGGCCTTGTCCCTGTTGCCCAGGAAACCTGCAAAGATACATGTTTTGCAACAAAACACAGTCTTTCCAAGCCTTTCAAATGGGAACACTACCATTATTTCTAACTGAAAGCCTTCAAATTCTGGTGAAGTAATAGCAGAATTTGTCTACAAGCATCTTGAAGTACTATTTCTGTAAACAGAGTCATCTAATCCTCTCCTCACTGCACAACAAGACTATTTATATGTGAAGCTGGGAGTCCATAGAAAGGCATTAGTTCAACTCCAGCAATATTCGTCATTTAATATGAACATTTATGCTACTGAAAACAGTGGAGTACCTCTAAGCTCTAGCATTGGCCGTTGTTTCCATGACTCTGGCATCATCTCTCTCCTAGTCTGGAAAACAAATTGGCTGTTGATAAATTTCTGAATGCTAGAGATGGTGAAGGGTACTTCTGGGTGAACGATACTGAAATACTGATCCAAGCAGATGCCCATGGTCTGAAGGCCAGGTACAATCTTTTGAATGCTCACCCCAGCTTGCTTCACTCTGAGCTTAAAAAGAAAATATGGACAACAGGTTATAATCCATATCCTGTTTGGCTTCAGGCTAAGCTACAAATGATCACAGTTTATACAAGTATACATACTCAGCCTTGCTATACTACATAGATTATTTCTGAGCAAATTTTCTATCTTATTAGCATATTACTGCAAAGCTCTGAATGAGTTTTCTTCACAGCAAGGCAGCCCACAGAAAGGCGTTATTATCCAACTGCTCTTTAGTATCTGTTGTTAAAAACGACCCCCCTCCCCCCGCTATCTGCTCTTATTATTGCTTGTATTTGTGTAGGCCTAATGTAATCGTGTTGATTCCAGCACATTTAAGCATACCACTGAGGGAAGGAGAAGCAAGTGCATTGTTTCATGGCAATATGCTGTAGGGCAATAATGCATGGAGTAATTTTCATTTGCTAGCGTTCTGGAGAAAAAAGTGTTTCAGACTTAGGAGGCTCTTGCACCCTTTTCCATCCTCTCACTGCTCCCTAAGGAGCATCAACGTTATAGTAAATTTGCAGAAAAGTATGGGGAATTTGTATTGTGATTCAGGGCTCTCTTCCTCATTTGGCAAGTGTCAGATCATACAAAAAAATGTAAGAGAACCACCACAGCTCCCTGGCCCTGCTTCTCCAGCCACGTGGCAGCTGCAGGAAGCCCTAATTTCCCATGGCTGTTATGAACATCTAGCTTTGTGTGAGAATGTTCAAGAGACAATCTAATACTGTCTCTAATACTTTTTTAAATGTAAAGAGGTATACTTTTATATGTATTGTCTATACAGATATAGACACGATGTAACATACATGTATATATGAAGATAAAACATCTCAGCCTTGTATGTAGCTGCAAGAGAGAAGTAGATACCAGCACGTGTCCTGCATCCTAATAAGAAAATAACTGTGGTACAAAATGTCTCGGCAACTTTTAGTTTTCTAAAGGATGGTTACCTTCTTATTTCTTCTTTTAACCATTACTATGTAAGGCTTCAGTCATTCTCGTTTAGCCTGATGACCATAGATGATAGCTTAACCCCTAAAGAAATACCCACCCTGCCATCATTGCATGTCATCAGGGTCACTGAGGCTCTGACCCAGCTACCAATAATGGCTACAGGACTTGCCTTTTTTCTACACCAGGATTTTTATCAAATTATGCTGACTGGCTGTCTTAAAAGGCTAACTTTGGCTAACATAGACAGTGACGTGCCCTCGATCGGCATGATGCCAGAACATGTTCCTGAGTGGCTGTATTCAGCTATGTTCTGCAGTCCCACTCTAAATTTCTCCTTTCTTTGCTCCTCTGTTAAGCTAATATATTCTGAGTAATATTGGGAGCAAGAGGGAGTGTAGCTTGTTGGGGACCCAGGCTATTTGGAAACTAGCCACAGAGCAGTCCCTGCATAGAGAAACACAATTCCACTGCTGTAGAGAATGTGTGTGTATCGGAGAGGAGGGCTGAATTGGAAAATAAAGACGTTTGTGGGCTCAGTTCCTACTAGATGAGACTGCGTGCTGCTTGATTTAGTAGGTGTCTGGGTTTTCCGCATGTGGAGTTTTAGAAAGCACGTAGAACCTCAGATGCAATCAAAGCCTTACAAGCTTTTGGATAGATTGTTAACTGGGAGAAGTGTGACTAGCTGTAAGTACAAAGCCTGTTTAAAGGATGGGTCATGTCTCGCACATATCCAAGGACAGGAAAGATACCAGAAACTTCAGAAAATTCAGTTCTGTGTTTGGTAGACTGCTGCAATATACCTTGATAGCATATTTGCAACTGTTTCATATGTGGGAATCTCAATAAATTCAAAGGAGAATCCTATTTGAAATGATCAAGATTCTGCTACTATGAGTGACTTTTATTTCTTATCTCTATAAAAAGTAATTCTGTAAATGCTAAAAATTAATGTGCACTGCATAAAGAGCAAACACAGAGATGAACTGTAGGACAGTCACAGCAGAAGAAAACAACTATATGCTTTTGACGAATTAAATGCCCTTACTATATGGTTGTCCTACCTCTTTGTCAAAAACCATATGAAAAGGAAGCCCATTGCAAAATGTTTTTGTGTCAATCCAGAGACTCTTGGGATAAACAGGGTCAAATCCTCTCAGGAGTTTACCTGTAGCAAGATAATTGTATTATTTTTAATCAGGTTACACCTCATAAAACCATTCAGCATTACTTTCTAGCATTCAGTAAGATAGGACTCTGTATCATAATGAGTTAAGACAAAGTTAACTGTGTGTGGATCTGGAAATATACATACATCTGTGCTAAATGCTGTGCAGTTTAATACACAGCTGATTAGCAACTAATCTGAGTTGGCCACATTTAAAACTTAACCACATAAAAAGCGCAGAGCACTACATGCATGAAATTATGTGGAAACAGTAGGAGTAGATGAGTGACTGCAGATATTGCTGCTCTGTGAATCTACAGATGTCACAGCAATATAACACAAATATATCCCACAAAAGCGTACACAGAAGTGGACTTTAATAGACTTTGCCAGCCACTTATGAATACTTATGAAGAAAAAGCTCAGCAGGCTCTGGATTTTAATCTCCTGTACAAAGAACGTTAGTCCACGGCACAAAGAGCAAATTACTGTTTGTTTTTTATTTTACTTACCCTGAATACTTTTCAGAACAGTCACAGTATTTACATGGAAGGTTGTGCTTGCTAGAGCAGTTATTTTTATGATGCATATTCAGAATAAAATGGGTAAAATAGTCAAAAGTTTTCATTTGACTGGAGCACCTTAATTCCTTGACTTCATAGTATACGCAAGCATTCTTCAGTAGCTCACAATAACCAACTGGTTGATTGTTTCAAGTGATCTCTTTTTAACAGAAGGTTGCTATTACAGTTACTGCAGTAAATTGTTTGATAACACATGCTGAAGTCACTCAGGATACTGGTGCAAAGATTATGAATTTACGACAACTTTAAGACCTCTTACTGCTTCAGTGGAATTCAGCATGCTTCTGTCATCTTTCAAAGTCAGGCTCTTGCTAATTTCTAGTCTTTATTGTTAACGGTTTGTTGTTTGTTTGTTTTCTAAATAACAGTGCTACTCTAAAACTTGCTTTTGAATATCTATTAACTTATCAATATATATGCTCTTGCAATACATTTGGCATTATAGCAGATGATATCAGTTTCACTTTTTCACACCTTCCTAGAATCTACACAGCCGTGTCATACTAAACTGGATTATAATTCCTCTTGAGGAATCAAAAGATCCTAAGCACAACAATACTGGTAACACCTTCCAGTTTCCCAGCAAGTACAAACAGAGATTATTAGTCTACTACCGGTAGATTTTTGGGTAGTAGAAGGTGTAATTTGGCTTTCAGAATTTACTACAATTGTAAAGGAATAGCAGTTACCAAGTTAAAAAAACATTCTTTAAAATCATCAGTTTAGAGAATGTGACATGAAAGGGAAGTATCAGATGTACCACACAATGCTATTTTATTGGAAAATATTTTGCCGAAGAATACCTTGTTTATGAGACAAAAGCGACAGGTCATATTCCATTTCAGTATCTGTCGTTATTAAGCATGCTTATTATGTGCATTTTTTTTTTTTTTTGGATTACCAAAGTCTAACTGAAAGAAGTGTAACCAGAAACATTGAAAAGATGCAGAGGAAATACAAATGGTAACTTTAAAATGGATGAATGGGTGAAGACAGCAAGGGTTACTGTTTTTCTTATTAAAGAGACTCGTAAATGATGACAAGCTCCCTCTGAATGATCTCTCACCTCTTCCTAACGTGATTATTCCTCTTATTGTTTTCCAGTGACTTTTCTTGACAGGACAAACCAAGTTTTCTCTGTCTCTAATTGTATACTTGGCTTTTTCAGGGTCCTGTTGAAATAAACCCAAAGGGATTTTTCAAGGGTGTTTAATTTTAATAATATTTTAATGATATAATGATAAACAATATTAAAATACCTCATTATTCAGTTGGGTCTCACTTTGTTTTTCAGAGTCAGCAAGATCTGGAGGTGAGGAAGAATATTTCTTTCTTTCTTTGTATGGAAGTACAGGGTTTTGAGTGACAAGGAAAACAATATGCTCTTTTTTCCCAGTTCTTTCTTCTTCTTCTGCTTGATTGACTATTTCCATTGAAATCTCAATGTTAAAAAAATCCAGGGCTGCTGCACCAATGATTCCTGAAGGTGAAACAAAAAACAAAATATTACCAGGAACAAAACCTTTCAGTTTCCCTTAGAGAGCTCACAGTGGAATTTCAGTGTTTCAGGAATTACTTTTCCAAATGAGTCTGGAAGAAGAAGGCGGCCTGCAGTTACCTATTTCATTCCTACTACCATTGTCATGGTAAGAATATGTGTATAACAAGATATTCTCAAAAGCTACTGTTGTTTTTTGTTTGTTTGTTTGCTTTGTCTGATGACAAATGCTTTATTTTCACTAGAAAAAAAGCTCAGCAGGGTGTCTGAATAAGGTGGTCAAATAGTCATAAATAGCAATAATATAAATTCCCATTAACCTCAAAACCACACAGAATCTAAAGAGATTCTGCTATAACAATCTATTTCAGTAACTGCAGAATATTTTATTTTGAAAGAACGTATTTCATGAAGATGCATTATCAGTCTTTTCATTTATAATTAATTATTTGGTGAAATATTGGACAATGACATGAAAAGCTGTGTCTGAAATTCCAAGTAGCCCTGTGTTCCAATAGGAATATGAGTTTTGATAAAGGGGGAAATTTTGATAAGCTTGTTATTCAGAAGCATCTAGGAAATAAATGAATATGATCATCTCTTACAGACTTGTAGATGTGTAACCTTTGCATAATTGTGGAGATTCCCCAAGTCAACGATCTTTACTCCTATAAATGCTAAAATAAGGATCAGTTTTGAGCATTGTCAAACAGTAATTTTGCAAAATTGCATGTTCTGCAGGAATATGTATGTATGTCCTTAAAACAACTATAATTTCTAGTCACTATAATTTAAGGAGTATGAATTATTGAGAATTAATCAACAGCTATAAACAAAACATACCATGAACTTTAATTTTACTTCCACAAAAGGAATTCTACAGGGATTCTCTAGAAATTTTAGAGCACAAACAGACACTTAAGGCTGGGTTGGCAAGTTATGAATCCTGGTGAAGCCACTGGGAGCTATGAGTGATCAGGCAGTCAGGGAAATACAAAGGCTGGATGTCTGATGACTAAACCTTACCAGGCTTCAATTTCATGACCAGTCCTCATCTGAAAAAAAGATTCTGAAACCTGAGCAAATTATATCTGCAAATATATTAGCCTGTATTTAAATTGCTTACCAGATGATCTGTATTCTATCTGATTACCTGGCACAATATGGTATAGACCTCTTCTATCTGAATAGTAATGTAAATGCATTGACCCATCTTCATTCTTTTCTACTCTAAAAGATGGTGCATTCATCTCCTGAGGAAAAACAAAGCAAAACAAAAAACCTTCAGTATCCTTCTCAGATAAGGAATATGGTGAATTCCATTTGCACAAAAGCATCATGTGCCTTAACAAAATAAGCAGTAATACAAACAAGCCGAAATGTAGAAAATGAAATATGCTCAACTCTGAAGAACCATCTCCGATGTATTACAGTCTGTGTACTAAATAATATCTATTGATCTATTGTTGAGAACTACTCAGAAAAAAAATATATATATTATCCTAACATTTTTTAGTAATCAGCTTCAGAACACAGGAGAGGCTGTTAGAGCATCTTTCTCCCTTACTTGTTCATACCAGTGAGATGCTCTTCTTTGTGTTACAAACTCTGGCAGCGTCCACCTATACCCACTCAGTAATTACTACTTGAACTTGCCTGGTAAGAAAGGGACAAGTAGCTGTGTAATGCATCCAAGTTCTCTATGAACTCATATAGATTTCCACCCAGTGTCCTCAGCATGTGATCATAGCCTGATCGTTTACAGAATTCAAAGAAATATTCTCCAAACTCTCTCAGAACCATGTCTGCAGGAACACCTGGCAAAAGAAAAGTATCTTAATGACTACGAAAGTCTTGGAAATTCTTGCAATGCTGTCAGACAGATTAAGAGGAAATGCAGAACATTTGCAACGTGGGGAATGCATTCCAAAGAGCACAGGAGACCAAAATGTGGGGTGCAGTCTCAGGCTTGAATCAGGAGGGCTCATTTTTGAGGTATGGTGACACGTACCTAATACTTTGCAGGCTTTGTCAACAAGTTGCATTGTGATCTCATCTTTGTAAACTTCAAAAGTCAAGAAAGTATCCTGAACTCCGGCCTGGAGTCTGTAACAGGAAAGACAATGTTCTTGTCTCAGTGGTGTTGTAAATATGACACGTTTGGGTGACTAAACCAGCATTCATTTAACACTATTTGCTATTAACCCACTTCTTAAACTCCTTCATGCATTATATTGGAACACACTATTTTCAGTAATAGTTTAAAAGCGTTGCTTTAAAAGGGCTGAATGATTGTGTCCACTTCCAAATTTCTATTTCATGTTATGGTATTAAGATAAATTCTTCCCAGGATTAGGGCATCATGATGTGGAGGTGTTAGAGCAATTACACTGGCTGCTTGTCTTCTGGTCTCCTGGCTTGCTGTTCAATACAGCCATGTTGTCAAGCTCTTAGGTCTCCACAGATTTGACCAAAACTTGCTGAATTTTTACACTGTCTTCAGTGCCTATTTTATGTATGTATCTAAGTATTATTTGTATTTCTTCAGGTCTTGGAAAATACTTAAAAGCTCATAAAGTAATGATAAAAATGGAAAAGATCATATATTTACCTACTTTTCTGAAGGTACTGGAATGAAACTGACTTAGTAACAAGAATGATACCTTCTCAAGGTAATTACTTTTAGATATTGTCTCAGTGACACAGTGACTCTGTTGCACAATTGTCCATAAGACAAAGCATCATCCTTCATTATGTGGTAAAACAAATTAATACCAGCTGGCGACCTGTTACAAAGTAAGAAACTCTTGCTTTTGCCCTGCTAGGTACTTCTAAAAATTAACTGAGATAAACATCAGCTGCCAAGAAGTTATAATCTTCTGCCGCTGAGTTCAGGAACATTTTCTTTAAATATATTAAATTTATTGCAAACGCGTTACCTTAATTTTTCCCATACTTCTTCACCATACTTCTCAACCACCAAGGACTTCAGGCACGTGTTGATAAATCCATACTGCACAGGCAAACGCATGAAGATGGCACAGATCACACCGACTGTCAAACTGCAGCCCAAACGCGCCCTCCTATTGCGTGTAAGCCCCCAGTGCTGCTTTTATCCCGCAGGACCGACAGCGTCTGCCAGCCTTTGTGCCTCCCCGCAGGGCTCATGCCCTTTCCCCCCCTTTTTCCCGGCACAGTCCCGTGCCGTGCAGCAGCCCAGGGCCCCGCAGCGCTCTGTGGGGCCGTGCCGCAGCCCCGGCAGCTCCCGGCTGTGCCCGGGCTGTCGTTTTGGGGTTAGGGCTGACGAACCAGGCGCTGGGGGGTCCAAAACCCGCCGCCCCCCGCCCGCCCCGGCCCCCTCGCAGCCCACTCACCATCCTGCCGCCGACCTCCAGAGCCGGAGCCCGTCGCCTGCCGGCCTCCTTCCCTGCCTCCCTCCCTCCCTTCCCTGCCTCCTTCCCTCCGCCGCCGCCCGGGGGCCGCCTCCCCGCACGCCCCCGGCCCGCCCGGGGGGAGGCGGCCGGGCCCGGGCGCTGTGTGAGGGGCTCAGCCCAGGCCCGGGCCTCCCCCAGCCCCGCTGCCCCCCACACCGGGGGTTGGCTGGGACAAACGACCACAGCCTTGTGCCCCATGCACGCCCCAGGCTGGCTGGGGGCCTGCTGAGGTGTCCGTGGGGTGCAAGTATTTGTGCTGGTCTCTGGCTGTTCCTGGGTGATGCCAAATGTTTGTACAAACGTGTACCTGTGAGAGCGTGGCAGCTGAGGTGGCTGTGGCGTCCTCACAGCTCATCCCGTCGTTGCCCCATGTTGGGTGCAGCCGGTTGTGCTCGCCTGGCTTTTGTGGAGCTCAGCCTGAGCCCCTGGGCCTGAGAGAAGGAGAAAGAGGGTTGTTGTGGTGTTTGTTTGTTTGTTTTTGCGCATTACATCCATCTGCTGAAAGGGGCAGCATAAGAAAACAAGTCTGTGCTCACCCCCACAGCAGCGAAAGCATCCTTCCTCACCTCACTTACCTCACAGACGAGCACATCAGGCTGGCTGCTCAGTCACAGCCTACAGGGTAACCAAAAATAACCCCGGTACGAGCACACCTCTGTCATTGCCATCGCTACAACTGTAACTTACTCTGTGATTACCCATTATTTTTCTCCACACAAGTTTTACCCACGTAAACTTGCTATTGATATGAATGCAAATAATGTGACACTATAATGACAAATTAGGGAGATAAAGCTGAAGAAAATTAGATGAACATTAGATGCCACATTCTGTAGGAACTGTGTATTCTTGTGTATGGCTTTCAAAATACATTAAATAATACTAATTTTAGCTTTACAGAACTTGAATCACTGGAGAGGTTTGCAAACTAAGTAAGTACTTTAGTATCTTTAATTTTTCTTATGGTATGTATAACATAAATAAGCAATCTGAAGATTTTTAGTAACAAAGTAACTATCAAAAACATTTGGAGATGCAATTTGGGTAAGCTACCCAAAACTCAGATTCATGCCTGTATACTAACTCTATATTGTACAAGATAATTCATATTGGAATTGAATTTGTGGTCATTGCTTTAGCAATTCTGTTGGCTAGTGAATTGATTCTGCTATTTTTTCAGGTCTTTTTGGCATGGTGAGAGAAAATTGGATAAAGACTGTTCAAGTCAGGATTGTTTGCAAGCAGGTCACTGGTGGCCCTTTGCAGTCCATGGACCACAATGCGTCTCAGTCACTTTTGCCATCTCTAGTAGGACAACAGAAGACTTCCAAGTAAGAAAGCAGAAAGTAATGAGATAGAAGTCTTTTAATATCCTTCTGGTGTGATTTTTTTTTTGTTGTTGTTGTTATTCTTTTGGCACAATGTAAGCAGTACTACAATTCCCAAATTTTGGAGAGCAGCAGCTCTTTCTGTGTGTAACTACCAGTCTAATCAGAGACAGAGCACCCTACGTGTTTCTGTGTCTCAGCCCACTCTGTGTCAAATGAAAACAGTACTCCCTCTCTCAATCTGTTTGCATGGTCCAGGAACATAATCTCTCCTGGTGCAGTGTATTCAGGTCACTCGGTGTATACCGACACATGCTGACCCATTGCAGTGGTCTAGCACTGGAGCAAAATGCCACCTGCTATGGCCAGTAAAGGGTACGTAAAAGAGAGGTTGGAGCAAGACTTATTTAGTTTCCAAGGATTTCTTGCTTCCCAGAACAATTAGGGTGGATGGGAATAAGTTCAGGCAAAACTGGGCACTGTTATTTTCCTGGTTTCTATCCTATGAGACTATAACTCTTTTTGTGAGGGCACACGATGCCGTCATTTGAAGTATGTTTGGAAAGTCCTCAGTGGTCTTCATCTGTGCAGAGCTTTTCCATCTTCCCACAAGCAGCTCAGTGCCCAGTGCTGATGTTGGGCTGGAGACTAGGTCACGGACTGATCGAGTGTATCTGCCCCTTATGAATGGCTAAATATCATGAGTCTAGAAGCTAAACAGCGGCCTAAGTACTGTTCTGCAAGCCCTGTGAAGTGCTAAAGCCTTCCTTGCGGTTTTTGAGCACTTGTGACTTAAGTTTCCTCTGACTTTATGTTGAAAGGTCCATTAATTCAGAAGGGTGGTGCTGTGGCCTTACCAAAAAAGATACTCATCTGTACCTGACAAAAACAATTATACCTAGAGCCAATTTTCCCTGGCCTTTTGTTGTGCTTGTACCCAGCTAGTAATAAACAACATCCTTGAGCTCAGGTAGTTCAGCAAAATAAATGAGCTATCTGCAAGACCTGGATACACTTTTTTTTTCTTCAATTAGATGAGAAGTGAAAGTCAGCAATAAAGCTATTTATAACTTCTGGTTATGGCCTTGGAGAATGTAGTCACAGACTTTCTTAGTCTGTGCATGCAAGGGCATCCTCCTTTTTGCTACTTTTTCTTTCTGTTGTGCAATTATTAGCAACAGTGAAGAGCCATATGCTAGTTGCCGTGGTGTAGGGACTGCTCCCGTAGCTGTCTGAGCAGATCACATTCTAAACATTTCAGTCTGAAGCCCAAAATACCACTGCTGTAACAGAATACTTTCTCCAACTGGTTGCCAGCAGTCTCTCCTACTGAAGACCCCCCAGTACACGGTCCTTATTAGTACGCTTGCTTTAAACATAGCCTCACATCCGTTGTTCAGATATCACGTGCTCATGCTTGTCTTGAATTAGCCTGCAGTGACTTATCGGTGACTTGGAGAGAAAAAGGATCTGTCCCTTGACCAAAGGAAATCAAAAGGGAAATTTTATGTGTTGGTAGGCTTCTAGTACTTCATGCTACTAAAGCATGAAGACAGCTGAAGTAGAGTTTAGATTATGAATAAAAATAAACACGGAAGATGTGCTGCCATGCGTACTTTGGATGGCTCCAGTTTTTGAAACATGTATTTAAAAACACCAACATTATATCTGAATTCTTATTAAAGAATCTGGCCAAAATTTAAATGTTATCAATGTGAACTAGCTCAATTGCAGAGAAATCACACTACTGCAGGCTTTGCTCTCAAGAAGGCTTTCAAAGACCCAGCTCCTCTGGTTAACAGTTAAGCTGAGCTGGAGATAGAAGACTGTGTCAATAGTATTCAAATCATCTTTGCAAAACTGTTAGGAAAAGTTATTGGCTTGGGTCCAAAATCTATTCACAAGTGCCCTTTACCACAGTGGAGGGGAGGGGACTTAAGAAATGAATGATTTGTTCACAGAGCTGGATAGCCTTTGGCATCGTTCCCCTTCCCTCTTCTTTCCATGTATGCTGCCCGTGTAGTTAATCTCTTCCTGTGTGTGAATTGCTCTGCACTCCCCTGGCATTTCCCTTCCTGGGCATTATTCTTTTCTGAGCCTGGGGAAATCAGGGCTGCATCAGTGAAAATATGTGTAATGCAAAGGAGAAATGGACCCTGTGTTTACATTTGCTGCATGAAACTTTAAATAGAAAGTCTTTGTCCGTGTTCCTCTGGGCATTTTCTTTAGCTTGTCTCTTTTATCACTACTTACATTCAGCAGTGGGTATCCAATATCTTTGTTTTCTAGATAGAAAATAGCTCATTACTGGTATTTTGGCCTCTGATTGCTAGTTAATGAAATTTGTTCCAGCTTTAACATCACTGCAACAAGCTACAAAGAATCATTTGTCTTCACTGCATGGGCCCGGCTCATTTCTGCTGTAGCTCATGGGCAGCGCAGTTATCCAGGAGACTAGAAGAATGCAGTAGAGAATAATGCAAAAAAATGGGTAAAAGCCAAGGCTCATCAATCTTTGGTGCTGTGGTATTACATCTGTATTGTACTCAAAGCCACGCAGTTTGAACATATTAGCATATGAAGCTGGTCGATTGCTTTCTGGGGTCTTGTTCTTCTGGCAAAGTAGCCACAAACTTAAAGGTGCTCGGGTCAAGTGAAGAAATAGTTCAATACTGGCTGGCACAGGCTGTGCTGTTGAGTAAGGTTGTGTCTGTGGAGCCTGTGGTGTACTTCTCTTTCCTCCCATCAGCCCCATCCTGGGGCTTAAAAAAGAAGGCATTTGGGTACTGTTCATGTCACCTGTAATCTGCTATGTAATTAAAAAGAACCTCCAGGGGCACAGTTCAAGAACTCAGAGCAATTCTGCAACATGTCCCCAGCAGTGTTAAATAAACAATATCAGGTAAATGCTGGCACTAGTTCTATTTGAATTTAATATTGTCAGAAACTGCTGCTTTCCTTTTGGAAATGGTAAGCCATTTGTCCTCCATCGTGGCACGTTAGATGCCTGTGGGTTTTGTTCTGAAGAGGTGGGCTCAGGTTTCCTATGGCATTGGTCTTAGTTGCACCTATAACTGTTAATCTGCAAATCTTACTCAATAAAATGATGGTTTTGCTTTCCTCTTGTCTGAGCTCTCTCTCAGCCTCCATCACATCTGGCCTCTTTCATCTAGTGAGCTTTCTCCTTGGCTATCCTTTCCCTCAGAGCCACCTTCCACAGATGCTTTCTTGGTACTTTAGATGTAACTTCCAGCTTCATTCCTGTCTGTTCTCCTCCTGGTAATATTTGTAATAGGAATTATTGTATGACGTACCTAGGTTTCTCATACTATTAATAAAAAATGTGTTTGCTTAGATTTTCTGGGTTTGGACCTAAACTGTAAGTGATTCTTGTGCCGTGTCTGTGGCTGAAAAATACTTGGAAAATACCTCAATTCTGTGAAAAGGTGCAGATTGCTGTCTCTTTTTACAGAGCCACAAACCTTTACAGCCTTCTGGGGGGGGGGGGGGACGGGACAAGCCCAGGACAGGCAGGCCTGGTTTTCAGAGGACTACAGCTCCCAGGATCCCCAAGAAAAACAGTACCTGAGCTTTGGCAGTGATGCACTTTGGGAAAATGGGGAGGTATACAAATGTTTCCCTTGCATAAGCAAGGCAAGTTTGCAAGTAACTAGGGAGAGGTAAATGGGGAGTGGTAAAAGCTCCTGAAAAATGCAGGTGGAAATCTGTGACAATAGGAGAGACGTCCCAAGGGCAGAGAGAGGTGGATAAAAGGGCTCTAAGGCAGCTCCGTAGGTTTATTAAGTAGAAGGGTGATTAACCAGGAGTTTTAAAATGTTCAAGCAGGGATGGCGAACAAGGTAAAAGAAAGTAAATTCTAAGGAAGAATTTTAGCTTCTAGTGAAGTGGAAGGAAATGCTACAGGAAAAGGAAGACTGAAAGAATAAGGTGCTTCTTGCCTTGTCCGGTGCGTGCTGGGGTGTCTTTGAAAGCACGGAGGGATGAAGATTTGTGTTCCTCCTGCAAAGGGACAGGAAGGTGATAGGTGCTGGCTGGTCCTTGGAGCACCTTTATGTGTTGTAATGGACTGTACAAGGGCTTGGAGA